CTAGGAGATACTACCTAACACCCTTGAGGCTAGCTCAAATCAGAAAAACAGAGAGCAACAATGTTGGAGAGGATGCGGTGAGATAGGAACTCTCTTACACTGTTGGTGGTGGTGTAGATACATACAGCCTCTGTGGAAAGCAATCTGGCAATATTTAAAGAAAATAGATATTGAGCTACTTTATGACCCAGCTATCCCTCTACTGGGCATATACGCAGAAGAGGTAAGAAGAAATAAACCACAGCCAGTCATCTGTGCTCCAATGTTTATTGAGGCGAATTCACAATCGCAAAGAGTTGGAAACAACTTACATTTTCATCAATATACGAGTGGATTAGAAAACTCTGGCACATACACACAATGGAGTACTACACATCACTAAAAAAGCACAGATGATCACAAGAAGCACATCATCTCATGGGAAGAGTTGGAGGAAATTATGCTAATCGAAGTTAGCTAATCACAAAAGGGCAAGTACAACATGAGTCATCTAAGGTAAGTATAATCAGCACAGTAGGTATAGAAAAAGAGCCACTTACCTCACACTATATGGGTTGAGGTACAGGTAGTTGAGTGGGGTCCATACCAAACACAAGGAGGTACATGTTATTCCAACACAAAGAAGGGGAAAGGGGGCAAGGGGGGGGGAGGGGGGAAAGGGAGACAATGGCACCGGGGGAGCAGGGCAAAAATCCACCCAGGGGGAGAGTATTGGTTATGTCTCCACAGAATTGGGTGTGTGCATGCAGACCCCCGCCATGGCACACCAAACCTTGACAGCATAACCATGCGGCGTAAAGCATGAGAAGAGTGGGCTACAGGTCTGGCCCCAATTAGAGGCCACACCCACACGGAAGCAAACCAAGAAGGAAAAAGAGAGAGGGACGGTCTAGACCTCATAAGGCCACACCAAGCCCAGAGAACGACATCCCTGCACGGAGCTGCTAAGGCACAGAGGACTGTAGGGTGACAACAGTGCAATACATGATGTCCCCTCACTGGAACACACTGTGACAGAGGACAATACTGGGGACATACGGCAGTGAGTTAGTCTGCTCTGAACATCGCACAGTGGGGCGAACCAAGAGGGAACATAACAGATCATCATCAGGAGCAAAGCCAATCCACAAAGCCCATGAAGAGTCCCCAAAATAGACTTCAGGCTAAGAGGGGCAGCTCCCAGAGCTCCCCCAGGACCAGTGGGGAGATAGTCATAAAGGTCAATGGACAGACCTGGAATTATGTTTGCTTTTTTGTTTGTTTGTTTGCTAGTGATTATTATCTTTTTTCTTTTATCTTTTTATTCAATCTTTTGTTTTCTTTTTGTTTGGTCTCGGTTATTGTCGGTTTGCCTACTTATATAAGATAGGCATGGGAAGCAAGCTTGAAAAGAAAGCAATGGACCAAGGGTTCAGGAGGGACTTGTGGGGAGAAGGAGGCAGGGGAAGGGAGCAGTGAGCAAACAGGGTAACAACTAGGGAATTAAAATCAACAATGAGGAGGATGTAGAGATCCTGGGGGTGTTGGAGCAACAGCAATCTAGCTGAGAAGAATTACTAAGAGGTGGAAGGCGAGTATGATGGTGGGGCAGGAGGAAGGTAAAAGGAAACAGGAAAAATCTAGGAAGCAAAGCTATGGATAGAGGTATAACCAAAGATGGGTACACATGTAAATACATTAATTCATAAAAATAGAGGTATCGGCCTATGTACATATATTTATATGGCAATACACTGAGGAAGTAGATGGACTTTGGGCCTCTGCTCATGCCCTCCTTCAATGAAAGAACACTTTGTTCTCTCTCACAACCTGGCATTGTGTGATGCTCACCCTCCCAACACGATTGCTGAAGACATAAGCAAATGAGGTAAAGAAAGCGGATGGTGCCTGGCTCTCAAAAGATATAGCATCTGGGGTCTTAAAGGCTTGAAGCCAAACAAATAGCCAGCTAGCAGAGAAGCAACAAGCCCACGTGGAAAAAGCACACCAGCCTGTGTGATCATGAGGTGTCGATGGACCGGGTAACAGACACCAAAAAACCCAAAACAAACAAATAAGACCCATATTTTTGAGAACAGGGGAGGTTGGAGCAGAGATGCAAAACCCATCTGTAGAAAATGGGACATCCCTTCACAGAAGGTCACAAGGAAGGGATGAGTCAACCAGGACTAAGTATAAGACCGATGGAACACACAATATTCCTCTGGTTCCTTGAAGTTTCCTCCACCTCCACCCCCACCCCCACTATCATGACCTCTTTCACTGAGGCCTAGACCAGGGCATGTGTACAGGTACAGATAAGAGATAAGAACTCACGACACACAGAATCCAGGAGCAGTAATGGGAGTAGCGATACCAGGAGGGTAGGGGAAAAGTGGGGAGAGGTGGGGAGGATGGGGGAACTGATCGCAATGATCTACACATAACTACACCCCCCACCCCCAGGGGGAAGAACAACAGAAACCATGGGGGAAGGGAGATAGCAGTTGGTGTAAGATATGAAAATAATAATAATTTATAATTTATCAAGGGGTTACAAGAGTGGGGGAGGGAAAAAAGAGGCACTAATACCAAGACTCAATAGAAAGTAAATGTTTAGAAAATAATAATGGCAACATATGTACAAATATACTTGGTAAAATTGATGTATGGATTGCTATAAGAAATATAAGAGCCCCCAAAAGAATGATCTTTTAATTTAAAAAGATCACAGTGTGATATAGGGACCCGAAGTGGGAAAATGGCACCAATAAAACTTGCTTCTCACAAGGTTGTTGCAGACTTTCACTTTGTAGAAAGTGCAAATATGTGTGAAGTACAGTAACTCGAAATACAATAAAGTGTCTTTCTGTGTGCTTTGGTCCAAGAAGAAGGCCCATATCTTTCCTTAGACCATATTAGAGATGCATAAAAGGGTAAGAAAAAGTACCCTACCCCAGTAGTTGTCAAGTAGGAACAAGAAGGAAGAAAGGACACATTTGAGGCCCATTTTGAAGGTCAATTCAAGTCACAATGTTAGGGGAACCATATTGAATGAAGGTAACAAAGCAGTGTACATTAACTCTAAAGTTTTAAGTCTGGGCATGTAAACAGTTCAAATAATTGTTAGATTAAGTACTGCAACTATTTTTTTACATCTTTCATATACTACATTTTTAACAGTAATTATTAGATTTAATTTTAATGACATTTGCTGTAACTCAACAATTCAACCTCAAATGATTTATCCTATAGAAATATTCTGTTTAAATGATGTATAAAGGTAAATGAATAGATATGGATTACAGCACAATAGAGAAGATCAGTAACAACTAATATTTCCATGTGTAGGTTGGTTAAATTTATTATGTTAAATCCAAACCACGGAAAATACTATTTTTTAAATTGTGGTATTTGCCTGAAAGATGCTCTATATGTAATTCATAATTCATTGCCTTAATTGACTCTGACTCAGTGATCTTAAAGAATAGAGTAGGTATGTCCCATAGGGTTTCTAAGGCTATAAATCTTTATGAAAACAAACTATCACATCTTTTTCCTATGTAGCTGCTGGTGAGTTCAAACTACCAACCTTTTGGTTAGAGACCAAAAACTTTAGCCCTTGTGCCATCAGAGCTCATTGTATCTATATAATATAAAGTGGGGGGAAAGCAAGTAGGAAAAACAGTGCAAATAACTTAAAATGCAATAATTTGATGCCATGTTTATAAACCAAAAATGCATACTGATATATCATAAAAATAGTTTGGAAGAATATAGGAGGGTAATATAAAAAGTATTGCTACAAAATGATAGAAACCGATATTAAACAAAAATATCAACATGTGAAGGCATTGTCTCTAAACAGACCTCCCATCTATGCCTATACACTTCTAGGGGTGGTGGGTCTTCTCCTCTAATCCTATCCCAAAGAATTCTACACTCTTACATGTATACTACATCAATCCAGTAGTTTGGGCATTCTCACAGGACTCAGGTTGTGTTCCTTTAAATGTTCTTTGAGTTTGGGGAATGAAAAAAAGTTATGAAGGGACAAGATCAAGCATGTAGAGTGGATGGGGTAAGGTATCCAAATGAAATTCTCAAAGAATGTTATGCTCAAAGAAAGAGCTGGTAGGTTATCAGAAAGGGGAGGGGGGAACCCTCAGCATCATTTTCCTGGACTTCTTCTCACCAATACCATTTTCATTGTTTTAAACCTTTTCCCTGATACACCCCATGATCATCCTGTGTCCTTAGAGAAGAATCTTTAGAATCCCAAAACACAGTCACATTAACCTTCTGAGCTGACCCCTTGATTTGGAATGCAACTAGCCCATCAGGTGCCCTCAGACGCCACTATTTTGATTGGACCTTTTTGTCTAAGGCATCCTAAGGAGACTGAGATAAGTGTATTACTGAGAAAACCTGTCTGCAGCTACCCACTGACAGCAGAGACATGTGTGAACACGTTTTGTGTGGAATTAACCAGAGCGTGTATGAGCTGCAACCCTAGAAGCCATCGTTTTTGACAAACATTTGTACATATCAGGCTGCTAACAATGGTGACCTCTTGAGAGGGAAGTTACAGGGGACCTTTTTTCTTTTGTGGTCATGTCTGGATTTTGAGGAGTCGGCATTCATTTTATAAAGAGAAAACTATATTTGTCTGAGTATGCTCTATTTTGGGTTTAAAGGTGGGGTGGCTCGTTTCTACTTACATATCACTTTTTCATAATTCATGTCACACATACATTACTAGCAATAGTTGAATTAACAAGGATCTTGGATGGAATAAAAGTAAAGTGCTCAGCTGCTAAGCAAACCTAAAGGTTGGTGGTTTGAATCCACCAGCATCTCCACAGGAGACAGATGCAGTGATTGTATCCCATAGACATTTCAGTCTAGGAAAGCCTACAAGAGAGTTGTACTTTTGTTACGTGGGGTCCCTAGGAATCAGGATCGAGTCACGGCACAGAACAGTGAAACTTTGCTGAAGGAAAGGCTAAGGAGTAACTCACCATTAAGACTCCAAAATGAGTGAGATGGTCACACTGACAAATTGTATAATTTACATTTGTTTCATTGACTTTACAGCCTGATGAATTCCATCCACCTAGGCCATCTGCAGGAGACAGAAAGGAATTTCACAGCAATTTTGTTTTCTAGGAAAAGTTACAAAAGACATTTTTTATCATACGATCTCTTTGAACGTGTATTATAATTGGTATTATTTGTTAAGACAGAAAGATAAAAGGATAAGTGAACACTGAAATGAAATGAAATCGATTAAGGTAACTTCATTTGGTGGGCCCTTCATAAATGGTATGCTTTGGGCTCTCACTTTCCATGTTCTTCTTGTACAGTTTAGAAGAAACTCTAATCATAAACAACAATCTTGTCATCGTGCTGGTGTGACAGAGTAAGAACTTTTTGAAGGGCATGAAGTTGATTCTTGGGGATACTCTGTGTAGCTGAAATAGACAGCTAAACAAACTATTCGATCCAGAAATCAAATGGTCTCGAATGTTTTCCACTCAAGCCAGATCCCGCTCTGGAGATGCTTTGGGCCATCTAGAGCAGGGCTCCTCAAACTTTTTAAACAGGGGGCCAGTTCACTGTCCCTCAGACCTGTTGCAGGGTTGGACTACAGTTTGTTGTTTTTTAAAAAAAAACTATGAACAAAATCCTTTGCACACTGCACATATCTTATTTTGAAGTAAAAAAACAAACGGGGCAAAAACACCCGGCTGGCCGGATAAAAAATGTCCTTGGCGGGCTGCATGTAGTCCGCGGGCCATAGTTTGAGGACGCCTGATCTAGAGCCTCTGTTCTTATTGACCCCTGGCTAGTTTCTCACTCCAGAGCATAATCAGTTATACCACCAAGCTCTCAAATTTTCAGGTTCAAGTTCCAAAGCAGAATCTACAAGTTGGCACTATCCTAGAACAAGCATCCAAGTGTGATCACAATGTGTCCATCTAGGATAGCTCCATAGATTCCAGAGGTGCTGGATCCACTGGGTGGGGATGGAAGAGGAAAGGGTAACCTAGGGGGAGCCTAGCAATGGGCATTAATGAAGACACAGATCAAATTATGGTGGCTGTGGGGGAGCTAAGTTCATCTCTTTGCAGGACTCCTATCTTGGGAGGCTTGGAGAGGCTGAGAAGGATAGTGCTATTTCTGTCATAGGAAAAAAGTAATATTCCTATGTCTAAGAGAGTAAGATGAGAAGAAATGTTGCCCTTCCTCTCAGGGTTCCAAAGATACCGAAAAGGGAAGGTTCTCAGGCAGAGTTTCTACAGGCAAAGAGCTCTTCACATAGCCACCGCTGGCATTCCTGAGAGCATTGGTTATATGTTGGAATTCTATGCATTTTGGCAACATTCTTGGAGAACCGCTGGAGGTGGCAAGCCTGAGTAAACCATTCAGAAATCACCATCTCCAACCCCTTTTCTTACTGTCCCCAAAGACGCATACATTATTCAACCAGGAAATCTCACTGCATTTATGAAGAGATAACGATATCAGGGCCCAGAAAGGGCAAATGGCCTGTGCCCCAAATCACAAAATGTAGAAGTGAAGGAAAAGGTGGTAGGTATTGCAAATTCCAGGGGAAACCCAGAGAAGGAGCCAGGTGTTCATTCCTCAACTTGCTCCAAACATCTTGAGGTTACTCTGCATTGAGCCTTCCCATGTTTTCCTTCAAAGTTTGCATATCTCTGAGTATCATGTGATTTTTATACTCTCCCAAATAAGTCTCTTATCGAAAAGGAACCTATTTTAAAAATACTTATGTCTTAATTACGTATAAAACTCACAGCATAGATCTTGGTCAATGAGAGGATTTGATAAGATAATAGCTTAAGTATAATTCCGTTCTTTTCAATCGCCAAATAGAAAAATGGTCACAGTCTCTCACTGAGAGCCAAAGACAAGACTTACTAAAAGTACTTACTGTTTTTGCCAAAATCCCAAAAGGCACAGTGAAACTGACCATGCTGGAAAAAGACAAATTAGAGGTAAAACACTTTTCCTTGCAACAGTTTCCACACAGTGACAAATACAATTGTTTTTAGCCTAGTATTCTTTCAAAGAGTAACTGTACATACACAGGATCTATTTGTAAATTTATTTTAAGAATAACTCATCTAACACTAGGTTTACATGTGCAAAAACATTATGTCCCTGCAGGATGATCTGCTATGTATTCTTTAAAATATGTGGTAGTATTGACATTTTTTATCCCTTCTGGTGCAGGGGCCTGGGGAGTGGGGGGTGGTGTTGGTCAAGGTAGGAGTGTTGCATATAAGCGAGTTCCTTGTAGAGTTTTTTTGGATTAGGGAAAATTGAGATCAAGTGCTATGGACATGAGGTTGCTAGGTTATGCTGACTACTCCTTCAGACTACTGAGAATGCCTGAAGCTTCACCATCTACAATCTCCAGGGAACTGAAGGCAGAGAGAAGTTGGTTAGTTGGGATAATCAGAGAGCTGTGGGCTCAGCCCAAAATGAAAAATCTTACCCAGACCACGTTTCACTTGATATATATGTTTAATTCCCTTTCTCTGTCCCTTCTCATTTTTTTTAACTCTCATTCTTCCTTCTTTTCTTCCCTTCTAGAATCAAGACCAGTGAAAATTACACTGTACCATATGGTCTTTTAGATTAGAAATGAAGGAAGCTATTAAGACTTCACACTGGACACATATTAACACCAAAGAATGGAAAAGCAATTCATTCTTCTACTCAGGCTAAATTTAATCATTTACAAAGCTATGCCTTATGTTATGTCAGGTGGCTCTGGTTTCAGTCCCTTGGTGATAATTACTGCACATTTTAATGCTCTTCATGGAAATTAAAGACTATAAATGTTCAATTATTTTGAATGAAGTTGTTTGCCTCACTCAAAGTTCAATGGGATTAAACATCATTTAGTATGATGCGACAACCAAAATACCAACCTTCCCTAAGTCTCTTCCATGCCAATCTGTCACAATGCTAGAATATCCACCATTAATTATCCATTTAGGAGAAGGCATATTTCTCCAGTTACCACACACCTCTGCTACCCAGAATGGGACAGTTTTCATTAAGTCTTGAAATTGCATTTGTTAACTAGCCATTTATTTTTGACAGGAGAATCCTGAAGGGTTTCTGAGGCCTTTTTATTCTGAGATGAAAATGGATATGTTACCCGATTTCCTTCAATGTGCTGCAGAGTGATAACCACTGGGTCAGCCAAGTTTTGAATGGACATATCTGAAATGCTGGCACTCACAACGTATGTGCTTAATGCTGTAGTGAAGTTTTTGGTCTGTAAATGAAACAAAGAATAGTTCAGGTCCTAGATTTCTAATTTCTCACATGTTAATATTCCATTTAGAATTTCACAGCATTAGGTACTCAATTCACTGTCATCAAATCAGTTCTGACTCATCGTGGCACTAGGGGGCAGAGTAGAACTACCCTTTTGAGTTTCTGAGGTTGTAAATACTTACAGTAGCAGAAAGCCACATAGCAGCTGGGAGTTTGAACTGCTAACCTTGCACTCAGCAGCACAACTTGTTACCCACTATGCTACCAGGGATCCTTGTCTTAGGTATAAGAATGTGGAAACTAAAATCACAAGTTAAGGATGAAGTTTGAAAGGTCATTTAGCCCATCACTGTCTTCATACAAGGTCTCAATTAAACACAATGTACTATTCTCTAATGAGTCACTATACCCTGATATCTTTATCTGTTAGGGAGCCTTGCATATAAAGAACCTTGATCCATCATATCTTCACCATAAACCTGTTCTATGCACACTGGATATGGAAGCCAGTTGATCAATATCCTGTATGGTACAAGTCCTGAGGATAATCATCTCCTCTCTTACAAACATGCGTTCTGAGGCCAGATAATAATTCTTGTGCACCTTAATGTGCCTACCTGTTCAGTATACCAAAACAACTACAATTCACTGCCATTCAGTGGATTGCGACTCACAGCAACCCTATACAACAGGGTAGAACTGCCCCGGTGGGTTTCTGAGACTTTCACTCTTTACAGGCGCAGAAAGTCACCTCTTTCTCCCATGAAGAAGCTGGTAGGTTCAAACTGCTGACCTTGTGATTAGCAACCCAAGGCATAACTCACTATGGCAGCAGTGTTTATTCTACTAAATACTTTCCTTACATACACTGTTTAGTCCTTACAGAAACTATACAGGACATGCCGCTAGAAAATGCAGGGCAAGGATGCTTAGTAGATTCTCGTTTAAAAGAAGTGTGCAGCAGTGTTCAATTCCAAAGCATCAGGTAGAAGGAGTCCCTTAACATACATTTGCATAATAATGAATCCCATGCTAAGGAATGCCAGAAGATAGCTACAGTGACTGGAAGCTTTAAACATAAAAAAGACCCTCTGGAGCAAATCTGAGTTTCTAACTAAGCAGAGACCTAGGGCCAGGGAGCCAATTTAATTTAATCCAATTCTAGCTGGCCAGGGGGAAAATAAACAAAAACCTATGAGCTATTAGGGCATCAGTAGTCTAGATAGGAAAATAAGCCCAGCTTCCCTCTGAGTGATTCTACACACAGCTGGGAAGATCCTGCCTGTTCTGGGGCCCTACACAGGGATGAGGGAACACCCGGCCCCACGCTACCTCTGCTGTAGTGCTACATACAGCACAAAGCAGGTATACCAGTGAACTCCAGCACTCAGTATCGCTGTGGGACCCACCACCTGGCCTCTGCTGTGATCTCGCCTTCGAGGATAATCCCACCCAGCATCTGTGTGACCCTACACCAAGTGGGCACACCATCCTGCTACCTTGAGGCAGAGTTGGAACTCCTCCACCACACGGTCAGGCGAACAATCCTCAGTTATCCTCTACTTACCACTCTATTTCTTCTCTCTTTATTCTCTCACTCTTTTACCTTTCCCACTGCAGTAGGTTTCAACTGCCCTAGTTTTGTTTTGCTTTTTCTTTCTTTTTCCTTCTTTTTCCTATTCTTTCTCTCTCTTTCCTATCATACGACACTGCTGGCTTCTAGGCCACTACCCATCGCCTAGGGCAACTCAACATAAATAGCAAGGGAAACTCTAGTCTACACTCTGTGAGAGTGCTGCACACCACACGAGGCAGCTGTGACAGCCCTCTACAGTGCTCCGCGCGGCTGAGGAAAACTCCATTGGGCCTCTAAGGTGAGCTTGCCAACTATAGCAATTCCACCAAGCACTACTGGGTCCCTGCACTAAAAGGGCACACCAAACTGCCATTTTTGAGCAGGGTTTAAACCACTCCAGCCCCACACTGAGGCAATCAGGGATCAGCTATCTCTTTATTCTTTTTTTTCCTTCTATCTTTCTTCTCTCTTTACCATTACAGTCAATCTTAGTGAGCACAGCTGTGTTTTTTCCACTTCTTTCTCTTTCTTTCTTCTAATCTCCTCTCTTTCTGCTTTTCTGTTTCATTACTCTCCTCTCTCTCTCTCTCTCTTTCCTTACACATGGCACTGGTTTCCAGCCCCCTACCCTCTAGCTAGGGTAACTCTGCCCATCCAATGGGGAGAGCTACAGCCTGCACTCTGTGACAGTGCTGCACACGGCAAAAGGCAGTGCTACACATGCCACTGCATGGGGATCAGCTATCTCTTTATTTTTTTTCTCTTCTTCCTTTTGTTCCTTTCATTTGTTTTTCTTTCACTTTTACCCTCTTTTTCCATCTCTTCTCAGTTTCCTGCCACGGTCTCAGCAGATTCAGTTTTCCTTTTTTATTGTTTTCTTTTTTTGACTGCTTTTACTTTTAGCTTGTCTTTGAATGTTTTGTGGGTGGGAGTTAATTTGCTTTGTCTTTCTGCACCTTCTTATTTTTCTCCTTTCTCTCTTTTTGCTCTGTTCTCTCTCCTTTCTCTCTTTTTCTTCTCTTCACCCTCTTTCCTTTCACAAGCCACTATTGGCCTCCAGGCCGCTCCGCTCTGCCTAGGGCAACGCTGAAGGCCCAGTTTGGGGAGCTCCCAATTGCATTTGTTGGCTACACACGCAGCCGGGGAAATAACGCCAGTCCTCCTCCATACCCCAAGAAGCTGGGGGTTGTCCCTTTCAAATGGCTTGGGGAACTCCAGCCTAATCCCAAAGCCCCGACAAGTGACTGGGGGAACTCCTGCCCACCACCGGTAGTGCGCCACGCTACCACAGGAAAATCCGCCCAACCTCCATGACAATCTCTCTGACTGGGTAATTCTTCATGCCAGCTACAGTGCTCTACACCAAGGAGGGTACACCCACACACACTCCGTGGCACTCCAGTTGAAGAGGGTAACACCACATGCCACCCGAGATGCTCCAAACATTGTGAGGAAAAACCACTACAGCTTACTTAGAGATGATCCAGTGAAATGCCACACTCGTGGTCCCACAGCCACCCGACCAGCATCCCATAAGAGGACTATCCAACTCACATTTCAAATAATGGAATACTAATCGACTAGGGTAAGAGTGAAACCACAGAAAGATACAGCGGTAGCGCCACTCCCCAGTGTAGCTACATGCAGGTAGTTGCTAGAAGCAATCATATAAGTCCCCCAAGAGAGGGTACCGTGCTCTTCAACTCTGGACAATGGCTCCAGGCTCCTAGAAAACAACACATAAACAGCAACCAGTCCCAACAGCCTCAAGTAAAAAGCAGGAGAAACAGAAGACAATGAGGTAAAATGTTACAAAGCTAACGATGTGCATAGAAGAAGCAGATAATGACCTGCCATACAAAGAAATTTTCAGAATGTTGCTTAGAGTAATACAGGATATGAGGGAATAAATACAGAAAAAGGATGAAATGATAGAGGAGATAAAGGCAATGCACCAAAGGGAAATACAAGACTTAAAGGATGAAATAACAAAATCCAGTGGCAAACTGACAGACTTTGCCAACAGACTTGAGGAGGCAGAGAATCACACCAGTAAACTAGAGGATAACCAAGCACACCTGAACAAATGGGAAAAACAGTCAAATAAGACAGAGCAGCTGAAGAAAACTTGAGAGTCATGTCTGATGCTATGAATAGGAACGGTACTAGAATAATTGGACTATCAGAACAAGACACAACACAGAAGTAAACAGTGAAAATAGCGAGGGAATTCTCAGAGGAAAACTTCCCCATCCTAATAAATGAAAATCAGGCAAACATTCAGGAGACTGAAAGAACGCCAGCCAGACTGAATCCCAAAAAGAAGTCACCAAGACACATAATAGTCAAATTATCCAACTATGAGGAAAAGTAGAAGATCATAAAAGTATCTAGGGAAAGGCAAATAGTCATGTATAAAGGTACCCAAATAAGAGTATGTTCAGACCTATCAGTGGACACAATGAAGAAGAGGAGGGAATGGAGTAACATATTCTAAAAACTGAAGGAAAATAACGCAAACCCAAGAATACTATAGCTGGCCAAATTATATATTAAGATAGATTGAGAAGTAAGAGTCTTCCCAGACAAGAAAAAACTCAAAGAATACATAAAAAGAAACCCAGCCCTACAAAAGATCCTGGCCGGTCCAGTATGGGCAGAAGATCAATACTCACTGAGTGCAAATAAGAGACCATCACATAGCAAAACTCCACCAGAGGGCAACAAAGAGAAAACAGCCCCCAAGGTAGCTTTGGCTCAATAGTGGAGAGAAGGCAAGAATGAACCACACACACATAACACAAATGGATAAGATAGTTAGGTAGGAAAACACCCAACACAAAAGGTATATGATGACATCACAGAGTCCACAGATGGATGTAATAACACAGAATATCAATGACCTGAAATCAAGTATAAAAAGGCAGAGGCTAACAGACTGCCTCAGAAAACATAACCCATTGATCTGCTGCCTACATGAGACACATCTCAAGCTTGCAGACAAAAACAGGTTGAGAATTAAAGGCTGGAGAAAAATATACCAAGAAAACAGCAATGCAAAAAAAGCAGGGGTTGCAATCTTAATATCTGACAAAATTTATCTCAAGGTACAGACCATAACAAGAGATAAGGAGGGGCACTATATAATGATCAAGGAAACAGTAGACCAATATCCAGCGAGCATAATAAATATATACGTGCCCAATGAAACCTGTGAAATTTGTAAATCAAACATTCCAAAAGATGAGAAAAGAAGTCACAGGCTCAATAATTATGGTAGGTAACTTTAATACAGCACTCTGAAAAAGACAGATCACTGGGAACGAAACTCAACTAGGAGGCTACAGATCTAAATAGCACAGATAGGACAACTTGGCATTATTGATAATTTCAGAGCTTTCCACCCAAATGAAAATTGATTC